GAAACAAAGGCAAACAATGGCAGAGATACAGATTGTTTAGCAGATTTTCTTTAAGATCCAATCACACAAGTCACAGCTGGCAATGGAACTCTGTCTGGTGGCAGAAGTGGTAAATTGGTTGTCGATGGGGGAAGGATTTGGCAGCACTGGGGTGGTCATGGGGGCCTTGTAGGAGGCACTTAGGGCCCACAGGTTGCAGATAGTGCATCCCTGCTCTAAATGTGCCTCGGGACATTCTGCTAAAACAAAGGCTTTTCGCAGCCGATAAGAGGAGATGGAAAGTATTCATCAAAAAGTTGCAGACATTTCAGCTTTAAAACATGCTTTTTTCAAATGATGCATCCAACTCTTTTGACAGTGTACTCTTAAATGTAAGAGACATGAGAAAAGCATAGCAGGAGAATTACTCAAAAGGTTAGTTAAAAACATTCACAAAACCCTTAAACATACTGTTTATGCATTTCACCTTTAGGGGCACAATTGACGAAAATGAGAAAATGCAAGTTCAAGTAGTGCGTATCACTGGGTAGCGGTGGTTTTATGAGTCCCTCTGTTTATGTTAACTGGACTTGAGTGATTTTTCACACATGTTCAAAAAAGGATATGACTTAAGCATACCTGCTTGCCATTAGTCCAAACTACCAAAAATAGAGTCTCCATTTCATTCCAACAAGCTGGATGATATATTCCATGTGCCATTTGATTTGTCAGACAGTAAAAACAAACCTTTAATTTTCCATGATAATACTAAGGCTGTCCTGTGTTCTGTTTCAGAAGCTTTAGACATTTCCCCCTTCTAGCATTAGATATAAGTCTACATATTCTACTACTCCTTTCTTTAGAAATAGAGATTGTGCTGAAAAACAATCTGCAGATACAACCCTGATATTATTGCTGCTACTTCTGCCAAAGGAAAGCTGGTTATCAAAGCAAAGGCACTGTTGTAATCTTTAGCACCAGGAATTCTTTATAATGTTATATTTCTTTTCTTACTTACCAAGACTACGTTTTGCAAACAGAAGAGCCAACATGAAGGCAAATAGGTTCCCCAAATACATAAGTGATGTATTTTAACTATTCAATTCCCAGTTAAGACATACTTGTAAAAGCAAGACTGTACTAATTTATATCTCTATTCAGTTTTCAAGATCTTCACTCTAGATGACAAATTTTTGCTTGTACTGTTTGAAGTTTGGCCTTAATTTTGGAACTAAAAGAGAAACACCAAATCTCACAAAATACCCTGCACCCCTGTTTCTAGCTAAGGTGTTAACTTCTTTCTTGTACGTTTTGCCTGAAAAATGTTCTGTCTGTAACATACCCTAAGGAAAGAGCAATTGTTTTTAGTTTGAATTGAAATGCAGTCAAGATGTTAGATCAGGGATGTGCAATTTGTGGCCTTCTAGATATTGTGGGCTACAACTCCGATCAGCTCTAGCCTACATCACAATATGGAAACATGGGAGTTGTAGTCCAAACCATCTGGAGGGTCCCTCCTGCATTAGGCAATGGACAATGTGATCCTGCTCATTGCCTAATATTTTGAATTTGATTTAAACCATGGTTGAACCATAGTTTACCATTACATTCTCACTGACACACTATGGTTTGCATCTGCCTTGCAATTCCATGGTTTGCTTTGCAGAGCAAACAGAAGCTACAGTTTCTCAGTTTGAATATAATTCCAAACTATGGTTTGCTGCAAACCAAGGAGTTACTTAATTAAGTAAAGTGTACTAAGCAGAGAGAGCACATGAACTTGGTTTGACATTACATGTAAATAAGTATGAACCATTATACCAAGATTACATTTGACATCTTTAACAAATAAAATGGAAACCTGAAGTGGGCACCACATCCTATGGGACAACCTTCATCAACTTTGTACACTTGCAGATGTTTTGGAGTTCAGCTTCCATTAGCCTCAACAGGCAGGGCAGAAGATGGGAGATGTAGTCCAAAGTTCTAAACACTGGCTGGAAAAGGCCGCTACAGGATTTTGCTGAATCAGTACGGTGACTTCTAACACCCTTGCTGCTACTTGTTAGTCAGCTCTGCCTCCCACAACCCTCGTTACTGGTAGCCTTGTAGCTATGTGCCCATATTGTGACTTGGCAAGGCCCCTGCATGCAGGGATATGTGGTGTGCTGGTTAAGAGCACAGGACTGGGACTCAGGCAATCAGGATTCTAGTCCCTGATTGGCCATGGAGCCAACTGGGTGACTTTGCACCAGTCACAGTCTTTCAGCCCAACCTACCTCACACGGTTGTGGTTGTGGGGATAAGATTGAAAGCAGGATGAGAATCATGTAAGCCACCTTGAGATTTTTAAAGGAAAAAAGTAGGATATAAATCTAATAAATGAATAAACAAATAAAAAGCTGCTCTTATATAATGAATTGAGCTAGCATGAATTAATGGTTTCCCATCCATTCTTTTGGGACATCACAAAGTATAACAAGGTAAACTGGATTTTTCTTGCATTCAGGATTCAGTATTGCCATTTTCGTAGCTGTGGGGATGTTCTTAGGGGAGAGGAGTCAGACGGACACCATCCTGGGGGCCTTCCTGCAGCACATGGCACAGCTGTTTGCAGTAGTGTGCTGCTAAGGATCCCTTTTCACAACACTGTGTAGACCTGACTGCGTAAGTCTGAGGTGGGGCCAGGGCTTGGGGGGATGGAAGAGTCCCAGCTTCCAGCATAAGAACTGGATCTTGGTGGTCCTTTCGGCCTCTTCCAGCACTCTGATTCCTTGAGAGAAAAAGCATCTGGTGATCTCAGTGTTTTTGCTATGTTTTTTATGCACACATGGCCTTTGTTGCATATGCAACAGAAGTTCCTTCCAGATTTTGAAAGAATCAATATTCCTAGGAATATTATTTGCGCACTTTTCCTTGCTAGTCAGACTACCAGATGTGTATATGTTATAAAGTGCAGAATTTAATTCTTAGGTCAGCTCTGGGCCATTTTGCTGATGTCAGTTTAAAGGAGCTGTCCATCACGACTAACCAGTTCAAATACTCTAATTTGTTTTAAGAGCAACCTTGACATGTGGCCAAAACAGCAGCCGGAGAGGACCGTAAAATCCCACAGTGTATGCAGATTGGCTTGCTCTCCGCTTCTCAAACAGCCACTGAAGACAAATCAACTAGGATATGCAGTTTGTGCTATAAGTCTTTGCCATCCCCAGCATCTAGAAGCTGCAGAAGATAGAATGATGTTATCTGATACCACATGGGCTCAGGACATATGTCTCCATCTACATCTTCTCTCTTTTTTTAAGGCAAACAACTCCATTATCAAAGAATTTAACAATTCCTGCAAAAAAAAAAAAAAAAAACTCAGATAAGGAGCACTAGGAAGCAACTTGCCCTTGAACTGTGGTATATACTGCATCAGTTTTTCCTTTTGTTGTTGTTGTACATCTTCTCATTATTTATCTATGTTCAAAGATGAAGCTCTTCCAAAATATAAACGCATAGGGAAATTCAGTTCAAATGGTGTGCTGACAGATCACACTTCCAAATGTGGTCCTGGCCATAGCCCAGACTGATGTCAGTCCATAAAGTCCTTTTCCACTAGCATGCTAATCTACATAGAAATGAGTAACATTCAAATAATTAAGTCTAGGACCTAGACTCCAGGTAAGAGACTGCATTTTTTAGGTTGTTCAAGGAACAATGGAAACAAGAAAGAAGTTTCCCCGGGGTGGGTGGGGGGGGGGGGTAAAGACATTCCTTTTGCCCATGGTGACAAAGGAAAGCTAGGGTATATTTGCTGCCTGCCTATCCTTTGTAATCAGCCTTGCACTAACCCTCCTTCACAGGCAAATGGACACTTAGAGCCACTAATGGCAATTCCTATGCTGTTTAAACCAGGAATTGCTGAGGCTGAGCAGGAGCAAGTCAGCATGTTGCCTCCCACAAGCTTGTTACGTGTGTTTTCAATCATCAACCTGAGAACACTCTTTTATTACCATGCCATGTGAAAACAGGAATGCTGGATTGTTTAGAGGTTAAACATCCCAGAGTTAACCCAATAACTAACCGTGGGAAGTGGGTGGGAGGCCGCATATGCACTCACTCACACACAGCCACAGCAATTCCTGCGCTACACAATGGCTATCTGAATCTGACATGAAAACGAGGCCTTTGAGGCAAAAAGCCAGGGAAGCAGTTAAAGGGGCTCCTTTGGCAACATGGTGTTTATCAGACATCTTATGTTCCTTCCTTGCGGTATTCCGAGTGAAAATTTCCACAGAATTCATTTGTGCAACAGAAAAGGAAGTTGACCAATTTAATTCTATCAGGAAGGGCTCAAGGGCCAGAAATCAACTTTAAATACTCAACTGGATTAAAGACACCATTAATATTTCAGCACAGACCTCCAATTTACACTGGGACCACTAAACACAGGTAGAAGAATATTTTAACTTTCTCCCCCATGCCACTTGTTTTCTAAAATAAAACAACAAAAGGAAAAAGCTTGTCCTGGTGTCAAAAGATTTTTTCCCAGCAGGAGGAAGATTTAACAAAACCAGTGAACCAAGTGATGTTAGTGGGAGGTTCAGAACTCCCCTACCTACACAGTTAACTCAGTCTGAATTATGCTCCCAACAGGCTCAGTTTAGAGTGAGAAAGAGATGATCAGCTACATAGCTAAAGTATCATATAGATCAATTCTTGAAAGTATATTGACATATTCATCACACCTGTCTACTAAATGTTCATCTGTATGTTCAAGCTAGTTCTATATTAATCAGTAGTGTAGATTCAAAACTAATGTAAAACTGATAGCCCTTCCACTGTGTTCCCACGAGCTACTTCAAGGTTCTGGGTATATTAAAGAAGATGGTAGAGCCCAGGTAAAGGAGGTCAAACCATCTATACCTGAAAATACGTGTGGCCTAAGAGAATTCTTGCTTTATATTTAGCATTTTAAATGGTAAAAACTTCAGCAAAAGCATCTTCAGCAAAAAACCAGAAAGGAAGTAAATAAATACAGTGAATAAAATATTTTAATTACAAAAATACTCAAACAATATTTCTGTCTCCTGTAATAAAACTGTGCCAGATTCCATTTCCAAATATAATAAAACTCAGTACATTCTAACAGATTCAACCAAATACCAAAATAAAATAAAAGTTTTTCTTTCAGAAACAGGCTGCAGTTCTAGTGTAATTACTTCTTGTCATGAAACATCTTTTGTTGCCATTCTACAAATGATGCCATCCAGAAGCGTGCCAATTTTCTCTTCTTGTGGGGTAAGCTTGTACATCTGAAAAAAGTGGAATAGTGACCTGATGAGCAACATCGTTCTGAAGATATAAATGCTTTAGAGGTTGTGCTGACACTCTGATGGACGTTAAAGTTATATTAAAATGCAGACATTTTAACAAGCTGAAAAATACTGAGCAAAAGCTCAAAAATACTGAAGAGTTTAAAATGTACAAGAAAGAGGACAAAGGAAATTTAAGCAAACACATGGATCTGTTCCAATCCTATGCATGTTTACCTGGGAGAAAAATCCACTGAACTAAATGAGCTTCACTTCTGAGTAAACATACTTAGGATTGTCCTGCTCTACTTTTATCGTATGTAATTACAAACCAAGCAAATATTTTCATGATTTTTCTCCACTCTCACCCTTGCATTAGCTTGTACAAACCTTTTTAACTTTTTGTATATCTGTTATCTGGGGGAGATCTGCTAAAGAGATTTGCTGGCCTTCAACTCGGCTTATTAGATCTTCCAAATTCACAGTTTTCTCTTTGTTTTCAACCAGAACAATGAGTATTGCAGAGTCATTGTCTCCAATGCCAAACTTTTTGAAAGCATCTGAAATCTAACATGAAGAAAGAATACAAATTGTGTCAATCAACTGACAAAACTACACCTTCGCCTGATTATGAGTCCTAATGCCCTGGGGGGGGGGGGGGAGACCACTGCTTTATAACAAAGCATTAATCCATTGTTTTCATGCAAGTGCAAACAGGCTATCAAAAACATTAAACATAACCAGATTTTATATCACAGTATTTGCAACAAATATCAGCACCTTTTGCTTAATGCTTATTCACAGGATTTCAAGTCAAGAGATGAGGGGTAAATGGATCATTTTATCCCACATTGAAAGGCTGTTATCCAAAGAATAGCTGGGTCAAAGGGAAGGGTAGATAAGTTTTCCATCATATGGTACATAAGAATTTCTCAAAAAGGAATGGGATCTCCAAGATGCTCAACTGGTACGACAATTCCATATGATACAATCTCTTGAACAAAGTATTAACTATATTACTCATTCCATGCAAATGCATGGGCCATTAAGCAAAAGATCTGAAATACTATAAATAACTGTTCTCACTCACACAGAGACAAGGGAAGCTGAGTAAGGCGTGGGGCAGAAAGATCTCAAAATGATGTGCAGAAAATACATCTTATGGTAGGTAGTTCACCCAATATCTTTTAATGAACATTCTTCTTCAGATGCAAGCGAAGTAGGCTTTATGACAGGCAGAGCTGCTGCCAACAGGAAGTAGGGCTTTGCAAGATGACATGGCTTTCTCTCTCTGTGCCACCCCACCCCATCCCTGCTCTTTCTCTTTCTCCCCCTCCCCTTTATACTACATGCAAAAGATAACCAGACGAGGTGGTGTTTCCTAGTTCATTGTTCTGAAGAGCATGAGTTTGCCTCTAGCATCCAAAGAACTGGACAATTCCAAGGACCTTGTGAAACAAGGCCAAGGGCCCCAGTCCCACACCCAAACCATAAATAGACATCTTACATTATTGTTTGGTGAAAGATTGAATATTATTTCTGCATTTAGTGATCTTGTCTTCATTTTACCAATCTGGTGGAGATGAACAGCTTTGTTTGTTGCCACAAGTATCTGAAATGGATCAACAATCTGCCCAAGAGAACAAAAGTTTTACTCTCCAAATGATAACCCTCAAAATAGCACCAACTGCTTTCTTATGCTCAAGAATGAAAAATATAACTTCAGAAATAGCTGCAAGCTAGTACTTCCATGTGTAAGATGTTGAATCAAGTTGCAAGCTTTTTTTTAATACCATATTTTTCCGTGTGTAAGACAATACTTTTTCTTAAAAATATTTACCTAAAAATGGAGGGGCGTCTTATACATGGGGGGCTGAGAGGAGAACCGCAGATGTGCTGGGGGGGGGAAGGCCAGGCACGGACACGCTGGGGGGGGGGGGAGGCCGGTGCGGGCATGCGTGTGGGGAAGCAGCGGATGTAGGCGCACTGGGAGGGACATGAATGCGGGCGCGCTGGGGGGGATGCGGGCGCGGGCACCCCCGGGGTTGAGACTGGTATGGGCATGTTCAGGGGGGGAGACTGGCGTGGGCACACTGGGGGAGAAGACCGGCGCCAGTGTGCATGCAGGGAGATGGCGGGTGGGCGGGCAGCAGCAGCTTGTTCACTTGCTTGGAGATCAGTAAGAAAAGTGGGGGGTGTCCTATACATGGGGGTGTCTTATAGACAGAAAAATATGGTACTCCATGCATTATAGATAGGCAAATTTTATTAAGAAAACAATCCCTGGGGGCCTAATCCTATAATGTTGTAAACAGGTATTGATATTAAATCTTAATTCATGCATAATATTTCTATCTGGGAAAAGTGGGTTCCTCACACTCTTTCTGATGCTTGCAATTTAGTTTACCAAAAGAATTAACGGTCACTATATTGTAAAGAATCAGGGTTTGGGCCTTTTTTGTTGTACTTTTTAAAGTATTATATGGGCAAACCTAGATAAAGAAAACCTTTAAGAAGATAGCCACTTAGGGAAAATAATGGCAACACATTTTAACATCCAGGGAAAATCAAGGAAATGTACAGACTTTTCAGTTTTTATCTAAAGCCTTCCTCTCACTCAAATATGGGATTTCTATTTAGCATATTTTTAATGCAGGAACATGATTCTTGCAAATTCAGAATCAGTCCCATGAGTGCACACAACACTAAAGCATGTTACATGTTAAAAAATGAAAATATACCCAAAAGGATGTATTCAAAAAAAAAAAAATCTGAACTGTATGGTTCAGTTCAGATGTTTCATATTCTGATTTGCAAATCTTAGTTTGACAAGCAAATATACCTTGCATGTTCTTCCTCCTTAAGAAAAGAAGAGCTGTGCTGAACCAGACAGAGGCTGATCTTATCTAGCTTTCTCTACCCATGGTGGCTAACCAGACTTCAGAAAGTTGACAATTGTGCAACAGCATGTGTGGAACTGCATCCTTTCATTCACATTTCCAAGTAACTTAGAAACTGCCTCCATGAATTTGTCTATTTTCCTTTTAAAGCCATCCAACCAACAGTACATCTTGCAATAACCAATTCCCTAGTTATCAAAGCACTAGTGAAGAAGGACTTCCTTTATCTCTCACCATTCAGCTTTATTGGATGGCTCCAGTGTCTCATGTTATGAAAGAGGAAGAAAGACTTTTCTGGTTAGGCTTCACAGTGAGTCTATGATACATCTGAACTGGTTGTTGCTGATTAAAGTGAATTTCTAAACTAGATGTAGAAACCAGGATTTAATCTGGTTTAAAAGCTAATTACGTTTAGCTGCAACCATATATCAGTTTGTAACTAATGGAAAGAAAAATTCACATGAGGAGGAAGAGACATAAGATTGAGGTATCTATCAGATACCATTTATTGCTAGACAATGGTTTGCTTTTGTCATTTTGGTCCTGAAACCCAGAATCTCAGCAAGTCATACAGTTTTGTGCTAACCAGTTAGTGAATACACACATGAACACACACACTATACAGTTTTCTCACCATTGCAGGATTAATTAATGCTGCATCAATAGCACCTTCCATTGCCTTTTTCCTTAGAGTAGCAGCATTTTTCACATCATTAAATAAGATAAGAGTAACAAGACAGTCAGGAAACAGTTCCAATCGATGTGTGAAATGCCGCATCTTGTGACAGAACAGTAAACTCCCTTTGAATCAGCCAAACCTGGAACATGTATAAACATTTACAGTTTACTGATGGGTAATGTTGATATCTTTGCTATTCAGAGAGCACTTTTATTTAACATAGCATAAAGGTACACTCCATGGAGATGCTTTGGAAAGGGTCAGATGTGCGTTAGAGGAAGATGAACTCTAAGCTGTGGCTTATTTTATGTTAACAAATGAAAAACCCCACACCACTCTGAGTAACTTCTTTTGTAAATTTATTCAAGTTTAAGCAAAGTAAACATTCAGATCACTAATAAGACACAATGTGAACATGCAAGCCATTCAGCAACTTTAAGAATATCTCTTACCCAGCTTATATTGAACTTTCCCTTATCCAGATTTCCTACTTTTTTGTGGTTGAGCAAGAAAAGCATACAAATATGCATAGGATTATCAAACTAACTTTTTAAAAGCATGCTGCATCGTAGTGTTGCTTGTAATTATCCTATGCTGGCTTTTCTCACATTTACTAGCTAGCCATTATTTGTGGTCCCCACTGACCCATTCTCTGGGACTTCTGCACATACCAGATGACTTTAGGGAAGTAAGCGGTGTTATCTCACATAAACCATACTGAGCTTCTTGAGATGGTACTATGATTCTCCTGTCTATTTTCAAGGCTCAACACAAAGTGACAGTAAACCCCTCCCCTCCTTTGAGTGTTGATATTTGTGTCACAAGAGCAGAAGGGGCAGAAAGGACAGTTATGACCAACAACCAAATTTGTGTACCACTAGTTGCAGAATCTGTTCACAGTTGGCACTGAGTTTTCTGAAGCAGTGTCCAAGGAATTCTGTTGAAAGTTTAGAAGCAAATGTCCAAAAGCCTTCAAATATGTTCTTGACAAGGGGGTGAGTTGGATGTAACTTCTGTTGTGGGTGTACTTTAATATATCCCCATTAATTTCTTGGTTATCCAATTTATTTTTCTGAGATAATCCTGTGAGCAGGGTCAGCAATGGACAATTGTTTTGGCCCATGAATGCATATCTAATGAAGTTTGTTAACAGCAAATACCCCATTCCTTTCTTATATGTATGAATTCACAAGACTCCTGGGAAAAACATAGAATAGTAGGGTTGCAAGGGGCCAGAAAGCCACCAGGTCCAATCCTCTGATCAGTTCAGGGCACCAAGTTACAACGTTCCTCTCAGATAGCTGTCCAGTTTCATCTTGGATGCCTCTACTGTGGGAGAGCCCACAATCTCCCAAGTCCATGTGTCAAGTTTCACTAAAAGTGCCCCCTGGTTCTGCATTAATACACACAATTTACATAAAACCTTCCTAAAATACTAAGACTGAAGGCCTAAGTAATGCAATGCAGCTTTAATCCAGAAAGATGCTTAGGAGTGGGATTTCTGCACAGGATCTCTGTTGGACAGAGATGGTCACCAGCTTACTTTATCTGTACACATATATGTTTAATTGACACTGCTTCTGCAACTTTAATATCAGCATGACACACATATGAAATGTCTTCTTGTATGGAAATGAAGTGACAGTCTTTATTTTCTATGTAAGGCTGCTGCAAAAGGAAGAGAAACAGGGTTCCTAGAAATAGGCAACCTTGCCAGCAGGTGGCAGATTAATAACTGCAACACATTTAGGAGCTTTCTCTCTCATATTGTGATATTAGTTATCCTGGGATAATTACTTTTTTCCAGTTCTGTGTACGTAACAGACAATGCAAGTGAACTCTTACTGCATGTGAAATGAGGCATTAGAGCTCTTTATACTGGTGTGGCTGGGAGAGAAGGGCTTGTGACCCTCCAGTTGCTTTGGCTTAGAATTCCCATATTCCTTTGTCATTTACTATGCTGGTTAGGGCTGATAGGAGTTGTAGGCCACATCATTTGGAGTGCCACAAACTGATCACCCCTGCTTTAGCTGTACTGGTCATGAATAATTAGTATGTATGAAATGCACTTTATGATTTATAAAAAAGATAAAATGCATTATAGTACTACATTTCATGCAAAGCAAAGCCCAGGCTGTTTTGCAAACAGACTAAACTCCCTAATATGGATTCACAGAACCCGCAGCACTACAGTTTAAAACAATGAGGTTTCCAACACCACTTTCCATAACTGAGCAGGGAACAAGATAAAGCAGGGTAATTAGTTCAGATATAAAACGTTACTTGCTCTTGTAATAAAATCCTGCTTTTACTAACGATACTGCACACATAACACTGAGCAGAAGGTTTTATATTCTGGCTTCTAGATGAATCAAGATTTTTGTTTGCTCTACATTGATAAGGAAATACGTATTAAATCTACACAACTACGCGATGGTGTCCAACTTGTCTCCAAATGCTTTGGCCCACAACTGTCCTCAGTCAGCACAACCAACAGAGAGGGATGATCGGAAGTGCAAACCTAAATATCTGCGGGGGGGGGGGGGCTACAAGGTGCCCACCGCTCAAGTATGCGGTTGCCGAACAATGCCATGAGCCGCGCCTCTTCCTGACCGATGAGGGCAGAGTTAAAGGAAGAGCCAGGCAGCCAAACAGCTGCGAGAAGCCGAGGCCCGGCCCGGTTTTCCTCGGCTCGGACTAGCATCCGCCGCCGCTCTCTCCAGCAGGGGCGGGTTCCCCCTGCTGAAAGGCCCACCAAGGCTGGGGCCGGCTGGCGGACAAGCAAGCTGACCGGTCTCGGCTCCCGCGCCCACCCCACGCCTCCAGGACGGAGGGCCCGGCCCGGCCCGGCCCCCACTCACCAGCTCGCTCCGTCCTCCCGCCGCTGCCGCAGCGCCTCCTCCGGGCCTCGGCCGGGCGTTCCGGCGCTTCGATGCGAGCGCTGGGAGGGGCCGTGCGCGACAGCATGGAGCGCTCCGAGGCCTACTGCTTCTCGGCGGCCTTCAGCGGCCTCTTCCTGGTCTCCTGCCTGCTCTTCTCTGCGCTCAACCGCCTGCAGCGCGCGCCCTACATGGACGAGGTCTTGCACGTCCCGCAGGCGCAGGCCTACTGCGAGAGCCGCTTCCAGCAGGTAGGCAGCCGCCCAGCGCCGGGATGCCGCGCCGCTCTGCGGGGGGACGGCCCCGCATCCGCCGCTGCCTCCGCTCGGGGAGCCCATCCCCAAAGGGCAGTCTTCCCCAACCGAATGCTTTCCAGAGGTCTGGACCACAAGACCCATCACCCTTAGCCTCTGCATAGCCAAGGACCGGGGATAATGGGCGCTGTGTATGTGGAGGGCACCGACTGGGAGAAGCCTGGTACAGCTGCAGAAAGTTTCATAGACTCATCGATTAGTACAGCTGGAAGGTGCCGGAAGGTCTTCGGGGGCCCCTACTCAGTGCAGGACACCAGGTTACACCACACCTCTCAGATGGCTGCCCAGCTTCATCTTGGATGCCTCTAGTGCCTCTTTAAGCAACTGGTTCCACTGTGGCAAGAATTTTTTCCCCCTAAAATCTAACCTGAATCTGGTTTGTTGCAATTTGAGTTAGTATTTGGTGTCCTACACTCTGGGAAAAGTGAGAAGAGATCTTGTCCTTCCTCTCTGTGACAGCTTGTGAGGTACTTAAAGAATGCTGTCATGGACCCCAGTCAAACTTCTCTTCTCAAGGCTGAACATGGCCGGTTCTCTCAGTCTTTCCTTATAGGGGGGTTGTTTCCAGACCTTGGATGATTTTTGTTGCCCTCCCCTGAATCCCTTCCAGTCGCATCTTTCTTAAACTTCGGTGCCACACCACACACACACACACACACACACACACACTATACGCGTACACGCAGTACTAGTGCGTCTTGGGTTCAAGGCAACAGAAACAAAATGGACAGAGTCCATCCAGAGATAAAATGGTTATGTGCAAGAACTTGCAGAACTGTCTTTACAGACATTGCAACATTTTTTAGGATGTCTTAGTTCTCCTAGCTATTGAACAAACCCATCTGTGACTGGCCACCACACCCCAGTGTATAACCCTTGAGCAACTTGTAGCCTTCTAATATACTGTTTGATCTGCATCCCCCATATTCCCTCAGTATTACCTATGCTGGCATTGTAGGCCAGAACATCTGGACTGTTCCATAGGTTTGCGACCCTGAGAAAGATTTTTAGGAGCAGTAGTGTAGTTAGGAAAATATAAACTCTTGACTTAATAGTTTTATGGAGGCAACTCACCTGGTGTCATGTTTAGAGTATTCGATTGGACTCAGGTATTGGACTGGACTCAGATGTAGCCAGAACATTCAGATTTCAGTAAAGGGGAGATGCACAGATACACAGGAATCATAAAAAAATGAAAGTTGAATTAAAATTACTAATTTCTCTTTCTGATTTTCTGTTATAAAAATATTTTTATTCACCATTTACTTTTGTCCATTTTCCTTTTCCTTTTGATAGTGGGACCCAATGATCACTACGCTGCCTGGTTTATACTTGGTGTCGGTTGGAATGGTGAAACCTGCAGCATGGCTCTTTGGGTGGTCCGGAAGTATCGTCTGCTCTACAGGAATGCTCAGATTCATTAATCTTCTTTTCAGCACTGGGAACTTCTACTTACTATATTTGCTTTTTTGCAAGGCAAATTATAAAAAGGTACGAAACAAATGTATTATAATACTATTCCTATGCACAGTAACCCCTTTCATGTGCCAGAATTTTGGTAAAAGTTTGAATTCTTCCCTTACCTAAAACTAGAGTTAGATTCTGTTTCATTGCTGTAATAATGCTTGACTCTACCCAGCACTCTAGATCATGGGTCCTCAAACTATGGCCTGCAGGACAGATCTGGCCCACCACGGCCATCCGTCCAGCCCGTTCCACCATTTGCCACCCGCGTGCGTGCTTGCTGCACAGGTGGGGAGGTGGTGGCTTGCTCACTCGGAGATGGTCTCTGAGTGAGCAAGCTGCCACTGCCTGCCTTCCATGCATGCGCGCTCGCCGCTGCCTTGCAGCCAGTGGCTTGCTTGCTCAGAGATGGTTTTGAACTCGCTGGGAGATCTCCAAGGGAGCGAGCCACCGCTGTGCGTGCCCGATGCCGCCTCGCGCATGCCCAGTGGCAGCTCACCGGCCTGTGCCCCCAGGCACTCCCACCTCACCAGCTCGCAGTCACCGCAGCCTTTCACCTGGCCCCTATTCAAAAAGTTTGAGGACCCCTGCTGTAGATGAGGGCCATCTTTCTGTTTTTCTAAAGTGGTGGGAAGCCATTTATACATATGACAAAGACTTGCACATCTAATTTTACACCTGTGGCTACTAGTCTCAGTGAGTTCATAAGCTTGCATATTGTTGCAACCATAAACCAGTTTCTTTATTTAGCAGTCTGGGAGGATTTACACTACTGTACCTTCATGGTCTTCAGCAGTCCTACAGCACTAAGAAAACAATCTGTTCATTTAATCTCTGTGGATCATTTGGACAAAAATGCTATTTCCTATGAAGCCTGCAATAGACAACTTCTAGGGCCAAGTCCCTTTAGGGAACAATGCTTGGGGGTCACTTACTGGCTATTAATTGGGGCCAGATCTTGGGCTGGGTGATACTAAAACCCCAAGTGCGTAGTTATAGTCAAATGTAGGTGGGGTGCCCTTTTTCTCTGCCTGTCTGTCTCTCATCTCTCTTCCTGTCCCTTTCCCTTCTCAAAGCCTCTGTCACACACTTTTTTTTCTTTCCTTCTCACCTACTTTGCCTCAGCTTTTTGAGGGAGGTATATATGCATACCTGTTCACACACATGCATAGATATATATCTATCGTTCTGTCAGGGCAAGGAAAAATGCTTCTATTTCTCCCACGCCTGCACAGTAATACAGTGGGCCATCAGTGGATCTATTCCGAGTACTGCCCTCTGCAAGGGGATGGGACCATGGGGTAGGGGCTGTGGGCGAGACACGGACTTACCATTGTCTGGATTTGGCTGCAGGTCAGGTGGCTCCCTGCCCCTAGATTCTCTGGTTAAATGAGCAGCAATTTTTAAAAAGAGTGTCTATTGTTTCTTCAAGACAGCACGTATAAAAACTGCAGATGACAAGCCCCTTGCATTTTATTTAAAATTATCACAAGCCATTCAGTTCCCTTTCATTTCAATGGAGTTTGTATAGTTGAATTTTATGGTATATTTTGCATGTTTGGTTTTTAAAGTTTAATGGATGCATTCATTCTGATTTCCCCATCCCTTTCCCCTCATCCCTTTGCAGGCTGCTTCTGGGTTCCAGAAGATCCTATCAACCTTGACACTGGCAATATTTCCACCTCTTTATTTTTTTACATTCCTATATTATACTGATTCAGGGTCAACATTTTTTACTCTTTTTGCATATTTAATGTGCCTTTATGGCAATCATAAAACTTCTGCCCTGCTTGGATTCTGTGGCTTTATGTTTCGTCAGACAAATATTGTATGGACTGTATTCTGCGGTGGAACCCTTGTTGCACAAAAGCTCAGTGAAGCCTGGAAGGCGGAACAATTGAAAAACAAAGACCAGAAGGGCTTACCCACGAAGGGATCCTTTTCAGAACTAATCAGAGCCTTCAGATTTCTCCTTGAGTACTTCATGTCAGTTAGAAACGTAAGCACTCTCATGCTTTTGACTTGGCCATACATCAGCATGGTGATGGTGTTTGTAACCTTTGTGGTCCTTAATGGTGGCATTGTCGTTGGTGACAGGAGCAGCCATGAGGCCTGCCTGCATTTCCCTCAGCTGTTCTACTTCCTTTCTTTTACTCTCTTTTTTTCCTTTCCTTATCTAGTAACACCTAGCAAAATTGCCCAGTTTCTTCGTTCTGTGAGGACACATTTGTTGCAATACAGCATCTTCACCATCATTGCTTTATTCCTTGTCTGGAGGTATACCTATGCTCATAAGTATCTCCTTGCGGATAACAGACATTACACGTTTTATGTGTGGAGAAAAATCTTTCAAAGACATGAGCTTGTAAAGTACATATTAGTCCCAGTTTATGCCTTTGCTGGCTGGAGCTTCATGGATGCACTGAAGTCAAAATCTGTTTTCTGGAATTTAGTCTATTTTGTGTGTTTGCTTGCAGTCACGGTTCCCCAGAAGCTACTAGAATTTCGTTACTTCATTTTACCATATGTCATATATAGGCTGAATATTCCAGTACCATCACTTTTTAAACTTTTCCTTGAGTTGACTTTTTATCTTTTGGTAAATGCAGTGACCTTCCACTTATTTTTGAACAAACCATTTCAATGGCCAAATAGTGAGGAACTCCAGAGGTTTATGTGGTAATTTTGATTTTCAGGAAGACCAAATTTTAGGATTTTTTTTTCTTCAGCAAGTAAGTGACTGAGTTTATAAACTCTCAAAGAAAGCTAAATATTTGTAATGTTTTTGTAACTGGGAGAGTGTGAAATTCGATGCACTGTCGTTGTAAATATTGGACTATTTTTATAAGGTAAACATCCTGGGGATAAATAAATATAAAATCAGGGAAATTTCACCCACACATCCAAGCGAATGTGAATAAAGGAATTTGTTTACATCATACTAGTTATGTTGCAGGTAACTAAGATACCTTCTAAGATAACTTCACTGTGTATGTGCTTAGCTGCACGCATCAGGAGTTAGTAAAAAATGGTGTAGCTGTGACCTAGTTGGTTGAATTTTGATGTGATTTGGTCACCACAATGTGGCTCTCAGGTATTATCTTTGCTGATGATAATATCTTGCAAGAGTGTCCCTTCCAGGACAATCTCAGATTTTACTGCCTGTTGGAAAATTTAAGCTTTCCAGACAACATTGAGTCTTAGATACCAATACATGAGGGCTCATTCACACAAACAGTTCCTTATGGAGATAATAAGTGAAATACATCATGACGACAACTTCATTGCAGCCAGAAGGAACCTAAGAAACAAGCCTCAGGATTATGGTTGTAATCCTAGACCTACTTACCTGAGAGTGAATTCGTTGGGATTTAATGTTTGAATAGACACCTGGTGGATTGTGCTGTAAAAACAGCATGAGTGGGCGACAGCAAATTCTCTTACAAGCTGGAGGACAACATTTAATTGACATATCATTGACAAATGTAATTAACCAGACTGAAAATCACTTAAAGGACATGCTGGATGCCAGACTATAATGGAGTAGCATGTTAAGCACACCGAGTAAAAGGCAGATTTGCAAAGGCCCATTGAAAACAATGAAAACTTGAAAAAAATGAGTATTTAACACTATTCCTGTGCACACTTTCCCAAGAATGCAAAGGTCTTCTGAGTAAATGTGCAAAAGTGCATTACTGAAAATTGCTCAGTTGTACTCAGTAGGTACAATATAAACCAGGTGTCTGTGGTTAATCGTACAATCCTAGTCATGTCTATTCAGAAGTAAACACTGAGATCCAAGGCCCTTACTCCCATGTAATTGCGTAGGATTGCAGCTTAAGCCTGCCTTGTTTCAATAGTTTACTTAATGTTTGTACAGCTGCATCTATTGCATTTATTATATAAAATTTTGTGAATTGGTATCCATTGAAAGCAAACAACTGGAAGCAACACTTAAAAACAAAAATGCCTAAGGGCCATCAATTGTTCAGCCTTAATGAATTTTCAGAATGTTGTGGAACAATCTGCATTCTTTCTGTGGCCATTTTTAATATCAAAAACACATCTGTGGCAACTAGAAAAGTGTGGCCTCTCTTTAAAATAAAATCTGAGATTCTCAAAATTCTAACAGGAGAAACTTTCAGAATGTGTAGCATGTGCTAAAATTATAATCAATTTCCTGCATTCATTGGCCATAATCCATAGAGTTAATAATGTTTTAGGCTATATTGATTTAAGTGGGATGAGATGAACTAGGTTTGGGGGATTGTGGCCATTCTCTCACATTCAGAGAACTGAGGAGGAATATTTAGATGACTTTTTAAAGTCATGCAATTAATGATACAACTTGAGGTGGCAAAACAAAGGAGCAGTGTTGCCACCTCAAACTGCATATTAAAATACTTGATGTCAAAGCATCCAGGACAGTAGTTTGGGGCAATTGATAGGTTTCTTGTGTCCCTCTGTTAGGTCAGTACAAGTAGAACTGATCTTTATTATTGCTTATGTATAATCCTATTAATAGTTACACTGTGACATTATGTTGGTGATACAAGAAAAAGCTGGGATACATTTTGAGGTAAGGAAGGAAGCCAGTTTGGAACAATGTTAATCATTTTTAAAGCTGAGAATGCAATGAATTCAGGGAAAGTAAATACAGCTTTTGTAGGAGCCATGTCAAAGGGTTACTCCTGGTTGAGTAATGGATTCTTCACAATGAAGAAGGGGGGAAAAACTTCCCCAAATGTACAGATTTGGGCTACATGGTAAAGATACATGAAATTCATAATATAACAAATCATATTACCTTTAGAGGCTCATGTTCAGAGTATAGAGTTTAGGAATACAGCCTAAAGTTTCTTGTTTATTTAACATGAAGCTTGTTGCTTGCAAGATATGAGCATTTTGAATTAATACAAAGAGCGTGGGTGGTCTTTTGCATAATTTACTGATTATGAAACAAGAAGAGGATTCAGTTGAAATTCCCTAATCAATGCTCTTTGAGAAACAAACAAAACAATAATGGCTTGTTTGTTATTGCTTTTCAGTAGCATTAATAGTTAGTAGCATTAATCTGCTTTTTGAAATGAGAAATCTTACTGGATTTGATTAAAGTCCTTAGGAAACATAGAGTTTAGAACCTCGAAAAGCAATATTGTAGTGATAGCTGTTATTATTTCTGTTAACTCTAAATGCCACAGGGCTTCTTAAATAATACAACTTACAGAAGACAACAAACTCCCGGTCCCTCTTACAATTATGGACTTTTAAAATGTACTGTTCCCTGATATGCCAGAAAAGTGGCCATTTGTGTTTATAGTAAAGTTTTATTTGTACTTCTGCAGCTTGTTCCCATTCTAGCTGCCACTAGCAATACGTGGTGGTGCCGTGAAGGGCCTCCAAGTGATGTAGGACATCTTGATGGATTCATGATGGTGGGGGGTAGGACAGGGTTCCTTTCAAGGGTTCGTTGAGTGCTAACCTTCAATCTGTTTCACTCATGCTGGAGCAACTTGAAAGGAAAGTTTGTGTAGTGACTGAGCCTGCCGGTTCCTGGCACCTCGTCATTCTGCAGGTGTTGCTGGAACCACACTGCCAGCCTCCCATCTGTTGAATTTAACTGATATGGATCCCACACTGCAAACTGGGCAGGGTGTGTCTTTTGCAAGTTAATTTAGGAAGCCTCTTGTAAAACGAGTGCAGCAGTGTACAGTAAAACTGGAGTGCGTGCACATTTTTTCCTACTTGCTTTAGGAGATTCCAGGTTCATTCCTTAGGTGAATAACAACCTGCAGCTCCCTAGCTATTTAGTAAGCAGCTGCTTGAGTAGAAATGCCAAAGAGAGGTAAAATTTCTTGTATCTCCATTCCTATCCAGAAATTTTGGCCTGTATCTCTTATATCGGCTGTCTTATGTGACTGATGGGAGACAAAATATGGTGGGGGTTACAAAATACCTTGTGTGTATCTCCATGCCACAAAGAGCTATTTAGCCTGGTGTTAGTTATTCAAGGCACAGGCAGAAGCTATGTGAGAGAATGAGATGTGCTGAGCTTGCTGAGATTACATATGCTAATTACAATTCCATTTTGCCAAGAACTTCACTGTAGCTTAAAACCATAAAATTAGAAACTGATGTGTTATTATTTATTTAATTTCCATACCACCCAACAGCCAAAACTCTCTAGGTAGCTCGCAAAATTTAAGAGCCACAAATCTCAGATAATGAAACAATACAGCACATTTAACTGAAAGCACTTAAAACAATTTCAAGCATTTAAAAATATGTATGATGAGATGCAGGAACTGACAAAAACAATTTGTCCAAATGGCCCATCATTTGTCATCAAATATTTTGGAAGATTGTATGGGATGCCTTAAGAAAACTATTTCAATCCCTATTTATTATCCAAATCAAAAATGTGAATAGTATAAATCAGTAGTTTAGAGAGCAGAGCCTTGTTTTCTGAAACATAAAGTCCGGGAGATGTTTCTTAAGGAAAAAAGCTTCTACAGCTATTTCCCTGCCTACTTTTTGTAGCCAGTTTTGTTCAAGCTATACTGTGACAGTTCCAATCTTTGGACATGCCCACATAATAAAAATACCGTTCACTTCTGGCATCTGTCACTTGTGTTGTACAACAATAGTGCACCATAACATAAGAGGTCTGATGCAAAAATGGTCAGTAGGCAACCATTTCACAACTCCTAGTTAAGAACCAGGATCTGTTGACCTGTTGTTGCTGGAAGGTTTTTTTTAAATGTGAAATGTGACATTGTTGACTACATTTCATAAGAATGGGCATTGTTTCTAAGGGCTGGACTGGTGGCTACTGGGTGGAAATAAGTGAGTATTCTAATTTTTGCTACTACCTTTTAAAAATCCTTGAACAGCAGTAGACAGGTGGCCTGCATATGCATTCGGAATGTGTTCCTCTTCTAGAGGATCCATTTAAAACCACTGAATGAACAATTTAAAGATTTGCAAAGGAAGAACAAACACTTCTTAACTAAATTTCACAAGGTGGCACTGTTGAGCTATCTTTTTGATACATCTAGTGTATATATGCTAATTTTAAAGGGCTGTTGGGGTTAAAATATTTGATGTTTATCACATTAGTTATTTCCCCTCCTTGCTAGTACTTTGTATTTATCTTAGTTCTGAAGCTGTGTTAACGTTTTTTTATTGTTTATTGCATTTTTATTGTTCTTAGAATGGTGTTTGTAGCTTGCAGTCTTTAAAACAGTTTTTTAGTAGAAGGCCAGTTGCATTACTGGAAAATTACGATTTGTGTTTCAGATATTTATTTTACCACTGTGACAGGAAGCGCCTAGTTCTGTTAAGAAGGGGACAGCACAGTATTGTTCCACTAGAATGTAAGGCCTTTCTCTAAAAATATTAATTATTCTTTAAATTGGGGATAAATTGTGTTTTTAAAATGTGCCCTCAAAGGGCTTGAGCCATCTGCTAGTTTGACTTTTTATGTTAAATGTCACCAACATTTTCATGAGATATGCAGGGAGGAGGAAGTCTGGTCCACAGATGAGATATGTATCTCTCTGTCACATCTCTTTAATCCTTGTTCTTACATAACTGCCACCAAACCTGCTTTTCTTTCTCTCAATAGTTTTGTCTTGCCAACATATTGCAGTAGTACAGATAGCCATTATTGAGAAGCAAAGAAGACTATGCTTCTCTACCATGAACCTAAGGGAGCATGTGATGCTACCCTTTGTCCAGATCCTGCAGTTCTTCCCCTTTGGTAAAAAGGAGGTGGAGGAGATTGTGTGAATTGCACCTGGGTGCTATGTGGACTTAGTCGTTTTGTACACACACAGGCACCACTGGCAGTGTGAATAAATTCCTCCTAGCATGTGTTGCTCTTCTTGTTCATTTATCACACAAAGAAGAATTATAGCCAAGCAGATGGATGTAGTGGCTCATGAATTCCACGCTGTGCAAATGAAAAAGCTATAATGTATGAAGTCAACCCATTTAACCAACCCCATATCGTTTGTACAAAGAATGAAAAAGATGTGTTTCAAAACAATTTATTGAATATTAATATTTAATAGAGAGGGCCTGTCCTCATTCGCTTCTCTTGAATGTACAAAGGGTTGCATAGGTAAAACTATACTTTTACTGAAGTGGAGGCGGCAACTTCGGCAGGGGGTGTATTTCTCCTGATTTAGGATGCTGGATGTGCTTGTGCTTTTCCATTGTCATATGAACTACAAGGCATTGGACTGCAAGTCAAGGAAGGCTGGGCTGGAGTCAGTCACAGACATTTTTATTCATGCACATAAGCTGCCTGGTTGCAGAGGGGGTTCTTAACTGGTTGTTGCTGTTTATTTCTGGTATTACTGTGTTTTAATTGTGCTTCAATGGATTTGTTTTGTGTGATATTTAATTAAGATTTTGTTTTTAGTCTGTCTTTTATTGTTTACCATCTTGAGCACCATTTTTGATGAAAAGGCAGGATATAAGTGAAACAAGAAATAAATTGGAGACAACTATCAAAAGAAGGAATTAAGTAGCTCCAAGAATAGAAAGGGAGTTTCAATTATGAGAGTAATATAAAGACATATAATATATGAAGTTCAATGGAATCACTTTCCATTAGGGTACAAAAGAAAGCATCTGCCTGTTCATTTCCAATAAATGTATTTTTTCCAATGTTGGGTTCTTGTGTCTATAATATTTGTTACAGTGTAATTGTGTTTTCCCTTAAAACTTTTGGAGCACCCAGAATATTGTGGATACGGTGGTATAATAAAGATTTTCCCTTAGATGTCTTGCTGTAAGCATTTTTTCTTAATTGCCAAATAAGTGTGGGATTTTTTTGTGGGGGGCATTGTATGCACCATACAGCTCATTATTCTACTGTTTCTTCAATACTTCTCACTGAAAGACACATTAATATAGCTCACTGTAAATTTGCAGATCGTGTGATTTGTGTATTTACCTGTCATATTTAATATCTCACCAGCTAGAAAGTCTGAAGGATATATGAAAGATTTAATACACTAAATCATCCCTATTCCCAGTTGCAGCTTTAACTAGCTATAACTCAGTATATTTTGTGACTCCAGGATGGTTTTTTGGATGTTGGCAATCCATAATTGAGTGTAACTTTGTAAATTAGGCTAATTTGGGATATAATTTACAAACTTGGTCAGCACCAGGCAGGGTTGTCTGTGTAAATGGACACTCTACCTATCGCCACATATACATTTTATTGCCTTACATTCCTTTCTATTTTTTCACATGCATTTCTCAGTCTCACAGGGCCATACAATTTTCTAGAGTCTCATTTGGGGTATCTCCCAAAAGCTGATTTATTATGCCTATATTCCATTTACATAATTTCCCCCCTTCTCTTAATGTTATCTGCACAATAACAATCCTGTGAGGTAGGTTGAGTTGAGTTGCCTGAGCGGGGACTAGAACCCAGACTGCCTGAGTCCCAGTCCCATGCTCTGAACCACTCATGGTTTGTGTATTTAGCTGTCAAACCACATTCATTGGAGTGGTTAAGGGCTCTCAGTGCAGTTGAACTCTTTGAACTGAACTGCCTCCCGCAATACCCCTCCCCAGCAATGGTGGCTTTTTCCAAGAAGACAAATGTGTTTTCATTGGAATACGTGAAATAAGTTCTAACCAGCATTTTAATAACATTTTGTCATGTACAGATACTTTATTCACATTTTCACAATGGGCTGCTTGGTGCTAATGCTGCCATTTAGAAGCAGGCATAGGACTGAATTTGGTACTATGTTACTGGATGGCAATACTATACATGGATGCATTTTGATACAGGTTGCAATATATTGCAAGGGAGAAATAGCCTGGGATTAACAGAGGAAAAGTATGGTTTAGGCATCATAGACACATTATTTATTATCATGTTACTATTCTTTATTATTATTCTTTACCATTCTTAAAGAAGTTCACCAAATGAAAGTTTTCCACCTTCTCCATAGGCTGGTGGGGTGGATGGGAGATGGGGGTTGCCTGGAGATGGGGGCATCACACAAAATAGAACTTATTCTAAGATAAATTAGTTTCTGTGTACCTAATCCCTTACTGTTGAGAAGAGAGAGGGGGGCTTTCGGGGGATAAAAGGAGGAGGAGTGAATGGAAAAATTTTCTTCTGTGATCTGCCTTAAGTTAACTCATCTTAGGATTCAAGCCATCATCATCATCAGAATTGCTAGGTGCTATAGAAAAATAAAAACAGTTCTAGGGTTATAATCTTATATTTAAGGAAAAGTACTTGCTGGGCAGTGGAGGGAGACAATGAAGGTAAAAGAGAAGGATAGACAGCTGGGAAATCCAGAGAGCATAAATCTGACTATCTGGAATCAATTCCTATTAATTCTAAATTTTGCATTTTATTGGAACCTTAACTAGATTGGTAAAGTCACTGTGTGAGCAGCTGTTAGATAACTATCTGTTAAATAACTTGTTATAAAACATCCAAAGAATAAAATTGTTTTAAAAGCAAGGCAATTGCCACACACAGATACAGGGCGCTGTCTCCTTGAAAATGCAGTAGTTGGCAACAACATACGGCATTGCCTTAATGGAAAAGCAGACAAGTGCCATTCAAGTAGCACAAGGTCACCAAAATAGATGAGTTTTGTTGAAAAACGACTAGAAAGCAAGAAATCGCCACAATTCTTGTCCCAGATGTAAGGAGAAGCATTGGAGGATCAGAAGAAGATAAAGAATGAAAAATAAATGGTAGCCGTTGGTGATGGTGTGTCAAAAACACACTCTAAAAGGGCTTGTGAGTGTGTGAGAAGGAGATTTCCTACTTGGAATAGAATACATGAAAATGTATTTTTGTTCCTTGCTTTATGGACATACCAAGGGGTGCCCCTGTTTCAGTCTATTTGACTCTAAGGTGCTCTGGTTATTGGTGGGATGACCCATATTTGCCAAATGCTGGAAACAGGAAGGCTGAAAGTACACAAAGTAAAAGACTTGTCTAGTGTGGGTTTCCAGGCATGGATGGGGGGCACATGGTACAGCTACTCTGCTGAAGCTATGCAGGCATGCCTCTCACCAGAACCTGGGTGAAGGACCATCTCATGTGCTGACTTGTGTTCTGTGATGGAAGAAGGGCAGGGTATAGTCGGGCGTGTACAAGCTTTCTGGTCTCGGGGTGGTGGGACCCATCTGTACATGCATCTAAGTGTGCGCACGCACGCACGCACGCACGCGCGCACACACACACACACACTCAACTCTCCCTTTCTCTCCCACACATGCACACTCATTCTTCCCATCCATGTTCACCCCAGCAAATCTTGGTCTTGTAGAAACAGCATGAAAATACTGAAGGCGCCCTCCCCATCACCACCACCACCACCATTACGACCACCACCATCATCATCATCATCCCTTTTAATAACATGCACTGTCAACTAGGAAACTTCATTCCTAGTGCATCCCAGGAAGCAAGCACAAGCTTTTAACCACAACTGCCCAGGATGTGCTAAAATTGAATGTGAGTTTCCTTTTATTTTTTTCAGTGGTGGGAAATGGGGACTACCAGATGGTGCTGGGGGGGAGTACTGTTTGCATCCCTGTTATAAATGTGCTACTAAAAATTTGCATCCCTACCTTAATCAGAGTATTTACTGCGGGTTGGGCATAGATCCCCTTACTGAGCCGCTTACTGCACACAACTAGAACTGGTTTGGGACTCACAGGCTGGATAAAGTAGAAAAAAGCAAACATGTCTGCATTGTCAATTTCTTTTTTCTTATGCTGAGACCGAGGAAGCTGGCAAAATCAAAAAGCAGAAGAGTTCTCTGAGCAAAAAGGTAAAATAGTAGAATTTAAAAACAACTGGATATCGTTTTGCAGGAAAGCAGTCTGGAGCATATTAATGGAAGAAACAACAAGAAAGAAAAAAGGCTGGCAGAGCTAGCCAACTCTGCCAAGAAAAGTTGTTTAAAAAATTGCAATCTCCCTTTCCAAACAGCAACAAATTCTGCTTGTTTAGCCTCTAAGGAGAAGAGAATTTTGGTCTCCTATTTTCTGAAGCAAAACAAAGAAAAATAGACTGCTTCTGTTCAAAGCCCTAGAAAAACAATTCATTCTTTCCGAGCTCTGTTGAAAAATGAGAGCAATTAGGGATCATACTTAACCCCAAGAACAGGGCATTTTGAAAGCTGGTTTATTTTATTTTCAAAATTTGTAACATGTCCTTTTGCTTTACCTAGTGCCCAGGACAATATGAAAAAGACACTGAAGGTAAGCCTGGGGAAGCAATGAAATCATCTTCCCACTGTTGAGTTGAGAAGAGTGCACTAGCTCCAGGGGAAGACCATTTCTTCCAACATGCTTCTTCCTTTGGACAACACATTTCCATTTAGCCTTAGCAATCATCTCCATCTTCTTATCTCTTCCAGGAAGTACTTTGTCTTTGCATTCCTTCTTGCAGTTAGCTTTAAATCGAGATGCTCAAACATGTTCCCCCTCTGCTTCTGGCATGCTCACTTTCCATCCACCAAAGCCGGTGGCCTTCAGAGTAGCAGATGCATTTCTTTAAGAAGTTACATTCCCATGTTTGGCCACTATGAAGCTAAAGAGAGAGGCTCACATATCATGTATCGGCCTCTTCCTTTGAACACACAAGCATGAAGCTCCTGGTATTTATAAGAATCCTGACCAGTCCAGAGACTTCGTGTTGCCCGCCCATCCCAAAATCCAGTGCCGTACTTCCCTGTTCTCTTCAGGAACAGAAGAGATAGCAGTCCCAGTTAGCAAATTAAAGGAGATCCCTTCCTTAGCTTAGGTTAAGGGTTTAGGAGATCCCTTTCTCAGCTTAGGTTAAGGGTTTATTTATTTATTTGAGTTCTAGCCTGCTTTTTCTTTTTTAAAGAATTCAAAGTAGCGTATGTCATTCTCCTTCTCTTGTTCTAAATCTTATCCCCACAGCAGCAACAGCAACAACAACAACCCTGTGAGAGTCTGTGACCCAGCTGGCTCCATGGCTCAGGTCTCGCACGACCTTAACCACTACAGCACCCTGGCTCGGAAGTACTGGTAGAAGCCCCGGGTCCCTGAGAGAGAAGGATCCCAGAGCAACAAGCTCTTTACGAAAGCTTAGAAACACACTCCTGCCTGGAGCCATGCCATCCTTTCCTTTAAGGGACAATCAAATGTTCTGCTAATCACGCATGGTGTTTTTGGAGGTGTTTTCCTTATATTTTCAGGTATGCAAGGTCTCAGCTTGGATTGGTACTATGGCACTCCAGGAGAGGGCAATAAACTTCCCCCCTTCCTGTTTTTCCTCCAAATTCCACCATCTGGATGTGTGTGTGTGTGTGGGGGGGAGATCTAACCCCCCTTCTGGAGCATTATGCTCCTGACCCAAAATGGATCAGTGCTTGCTTACACAAGGGCAAGGAAAACATGCCACAATATATGTGATTAGCAGAACATTTAGTTTGGCCTTCAAGACTTTGTTGCCCCAGAGGAAACCTTCAAGTAGTGCAAAGCTGATAAAGGGATGCCCTGGAGGAAGAAGCTGGCCGAAGGCTGTGGCAGGACTCTGGGTTGTCACCATTTCCAGACTGCATAGCGCCTGAAGGGCATATCCAGGGGGAAGCCTGCTGGAGCAGGCAGAATGAGTTTCTGTTCAGATTCCCTGCCCACCTTTGCCTCTCACTATCCGAACCCTTTATAGTCCTATCTGTCGTGACGGCAGCTGTCTCTGAAAATAGGATATCAAAGCCTGATTCTTGCAGCCACCATTCTTCTTTTGAGCAAAG